AGCTTTTTTGGGGTGAGGTGATGATGGCCTCTTCCACTGGCTTGATTGATGTTTGCTTTCAGGGTTGTAATGATAGCACCATGTCTCCTCACCAGTAATGACCTTGGGGAAAAAGTCTACGTCGTTTTCGAGCTTTTCCTTCAAAGTACGGCATGTTTCCACTCGACACTTCTTCCTGATCAGTCAGAACCCGAGGCACAAATTTTTCAGCGACCCTTCTCTTTCTCAAATCTTCCATTAAAATTCACCCCAAGATAGTCCAGACAACTTCCCCATGTCTTCAATGGCCCGCTGTCGGTCTTCGAGCACAAGTCCACAAATTTGGTTGACAGTTTCGGCCATTCGGGAAGTTGACGGACATTCAGAACGAGGTTTGTCATCAATCAACATTTCACCTTTTTTTAAAGGAGAAAACCACTTGTACACTTGAGTTTTTCCCATAGTGTTGTCCTTGTAAGTTGCATTCAACATCACAACAGTTTCTGCAGCATTTTTCCCCGAGCAGGAAACAAAATTCCGCAGCTGCACACTGGTCTCTTAAATCGGCTATCACAAAAAATGAGGTTTGAGTGAAATTGGGTTTACAACACATTCACTGAGTTACTGGATGCTCGCCTAGCGGGAAAAATGAATACTATGAACGCTCCACCCAGCAGAGCTACTTCAATTTTTTTTTTTAACCTGCTCGTACAGAAGAAAGCATTCAACTAGCAAATGCTGGATGAGTAGTTTACACGGAAGCTTCACGGTGATCAGTAATTTAATTCAACTCCTTGAGGTCAAGATATTCTTGAAAGGGATTTGTCTTAGCCTGGGAATTCTTTTTATCTTTTGCAAAATGAATCTGAAGTCTGGCTCAGACATGTTCACTTACCTGATTTCTCAGAGACAGCACCTTCAGATTCCATGTTCAAATTTTCTGAGCTATCGGCTGTCCCAATGGAGGCCTCAGATTCAAGGGTCTCATCATCAGAGGCCCGGGGTTCCAGGACAAGCATTTCAAATGTTAGCTCCTCCCTGTAGGGTACAGTCAGGCAACCATTAGCACTTGATGCAGAATAGAAGGCTGCTAAGAGGCAAAAAGACCTCCCATGAAAGAAATGTAAGTCCCAGTCACATTTCTTACTGCCCTCCATCCAGGGTAGTGACAAGGACCTGCAAGCCAAGGTCAAAGTGAAGGCTAAACCTGTGCTGACTGAGGGACTCAGTGAGAGATAGGCTGGGACCAGTATAGGGTAGGGTTAGGGGAGAGATGCTGTGGCTCTAGGATCTTTTGGCAAAATGGACCCTGGACTAATTATGAAGGCAGGGTTCTAGTATCACCCTGAACTCATTCATAACATATCAGGAAAGTACTTTCCTCTCCACCTCAGCTTCCTCAGCCACAAACAAACTGAACTCTAGGATTCCTTCTAGCTCTACAGCGATTTCCATAAAGCTTTACTAAGTGCCTACACACAAGTCCTACATACTCTTAACTTGACCACAGAGACAGCTAGATGAAGAAAAACAGTAAGTAATCCTTTCTGGCCTTTGATGCTCATGCCTTTGCCAGTTAAAGTATTCTCTACCCCTCTTCACCCACCTGCCTCTCAGTCATGTTTTAAAGCCTTTGGTACTTGCTCCTATTCTTGATTTCCCACTACTGCCTGACATCACTGGAATGTATTTCAATTAGCATCACTAAAAAAATCCTCAAGTTCCTTTATGCCTGTAACTGCCAAATATATGTGTGTGTATGTGTATGTGTGTGTATATAATGATTTGCTTCTTACCTAAAAACACACCAAACACCATGGTCATTGAGTCGATTCCAAGTCATAGTGACCATATATAGGATTTCCAAGATTGTAAACCTTTCTAGAAGAGTCTCATCTTTCTTTACTGAACTGGCTGGTGGGTTTGAACCACTGACCTTGAAGTTACCAGACTGATGCCTAATCCACAGTGCCACCAGCACTTATCTGGAAATATGCCAGGGTTCTGCCTACAATCTTCTTACCCTTTTACCAAGTCTCCTCTCATCAGAGCCCTCTTAGACTCACTGACACTCTGCCTGAGTTCATGGACAGGCTTTTCAAGGATAATCTCACCAGCAACTAACTCAATGCAACAGCTACAGCTGCTGAAGTTGTGTGCATTCACACTTCTGAAATATGACCCACGTGCTTACCCCTTTTCTGGAACAACTTCCCTCTTCTTAGTAAATCTCTAGTCTTCCTTCATCAAAAGTGAGTTACTGTATATACTTGAGTATAAGCCAACCGAATATCAGCTGAGCGAGGCACCTAATTTTACCACAAACACTGCATTAAAAATGTGCTGAAAAACTCGACTTATACGTGAGTATATACGGTAACCAGCCCCTGGTCAATGTAAGGGTGAGCTTCCAAAAGTTCATGGAAAATGGAATTAAAAGATAATGGAATTTTCCCCACAAACTTCTTGAAGCCCTATCATACACCACCTATGCTTTATCATGAAGCTAACAATTGAGTCCCAGCTATTTTTTAAATTTCCTCAAATCCCAGAATCTGTCTGACAGGTGAAACACTCATTAACAGCCTCATATCCCCTCCTCAAGGATCATGCTCTCACAACTTGGGATTCTGGAACTCAGGCATGGAAGTTCCTTTAAGAGTCTGCATGGTCCACCAGAACTAGAACACAGAACCTTCAGGGACAACACCAGGGATGTCCACTGTCCCCAAGGTATAGTGACTACTTCCACCGCCATCACCCCAGCAATGACAGAGGTCACCGAGCTTCTTGTCTCACTCCTAAACTGCCACCCATTTCCCAGTTTCCCAGCACCCAGTGGGACTGCTGCCTTACTCTGATCATCCAGTTTCTGGTCCTGTAGTCAGACTGCTCTTTAGACAGTAACCCTCCTTCAGAGTGCTGAGTAAAGCTCATGGTCTGAGCCTGGGAACCCTTGGGCGGACAAATCTGTTCCCTGTGGCTGTTCTCTGTCCTGTGAGGCACCCTGACTGAGACTGGCCCACCACTCGGGAACAAGGTCCTCCTCCCTGTCAGCCCGTCCGTCCAGACTCCTAGACTCATCTTCGCTGCTGCAGCAGCAGCAGCTTTCCCAGCTCTTGGAGCTGCCTCTCCTGAGGCGGCAAGTGTCATCTTGATGCCTGAGTACAGGCCCCAGATCTTTGTCAGCTCCATCCCCTGCATCACCAGACATCAGGCTGGGAACAAAGGTGATGCTTGGAGAGTGAGGAAAAATTAAGGAGGCCAAAAGGAAGGACGTGAAAGCAGAAAATAACTGGTCTCTCCTCTTCCGCCAGGAAACTTACTTCTCTTTCTGCAGGTTCTCAATCTGCTCCGTCAGCACTCGCTCCTCCTGCTGCATGGCTGCTTGCTGCTGCTCTGTGATGTCAGTCTCCATGGCGGCCTCGCTAGTCAAGGCCTCTTCAGGGACATCAGACACAGAGGGCAAACGAACTACAACAGGAGAGGAAGGGCTTGGATAGTTTCCTCGACGAATGCGTCCCTTTCCCTGCAGAGAAAATCCGCGTTAGAACCTAAATTGGGTAACTACATGGGTCTTACGTGAACCAGTGAGGCAAACGTGTGCACTGCCATCAAACCGGGCGAATGGTAGGAAAACGTGTGAACATTCTGCAAACCCTAGGCCAGCGTGTGGAACACTGCCCACTGCCGGCTCAGTCTGTCTCCCGAGAGCACTGGAGCACCGACACCTGGGGGCTGAGATCACATTCTTTTCAACTGGAAATTAATTGAAACTTTAAAATGAATTAAAACTAAAATATGAAAGTAAAACTTTAGCTCTGTAGTTACACTAGCCACAGAAGTGTTTCATAGCCGTGGGTAAACTGCCCACATGCAGGGCAGATATAAAACACTTCCAACACTGCAGCCAGTTCTGTTGGGCAGCCCAGCTCTGTAGCATTCACCTTCTAATGCACAGTCTTTTTAGGAAGACCAGGGCAATATGTCCGGACACTCAGCCTTTTCTGGAGTTTTTAATGTGTGTTTGTTTGGGGGGTGGAGGTTGGGGTAATGGTAGCTGTTTCTAGACTAGGGTGCCAGGGAAAGATATATTCTCTGAGAACTATTGAAGAAATTGCCATTCTTGATATCAGGGGAGAAAAAAAACTCATTGCTTTTAAAATCATTTATGACTCTGGTTTCTAATAATGGTAGACTAGGTGTCTTACTCTAAAGCTCCTAAACTAAATGTGAAAACCAAAACAAATCAGTACGTGCTTGAAGGCACTGGCATATTAGCAAGGGAGACCCAGAAGAGGCGAGGCCAGCAGCAAGGACTGCCCTGCATCTCAGGGGGTTGCTGAGAGTCCGAGTTTCTGAAGGGTCAGCACGCTACAGCCTGTAATCCAAGTCTGCACCAGGCCAGCACTGGGGCCCATTCATGCTCACGCCTTTGCCTATGGCCCAGGACTACTTCTGTAGAATAATCGCAGAGTCCAAGATAAAGACAGGCTGTATGGCCCACAAAACATAAAATCTAAGGGAGCTTCAAAAAGTATATGGGAGAAAAAATGGAACAGTTGTATGATCCCCTAATAAAATGTTAAAAAAGAAAAAAAAAAACTTATTTCAGGGGAAAAAAATAAATAAATAAAAAATAATAGCATTTTTCTAC